TTATTAAAAAAGTACTCTTTTGGTACATTTTCACATTTTTTATTTTCCATCCCTGTCTACAATTAATAAAAATGTAAAAAAAAAACCTTTTAGTAATCTTGTCAACCTAAACGCCATGGACATAATTGTTTATGCTGCGTTTTACTTCGATCCTTTTTAAATTGAAGTTTAGATGGTTTAAAGTTTGAGATTCACTCTTGACGTTAAGTCAGGGATGCGAAATGAAATTACTGAAATTTTACTGGCTTTCAATAAAAAGTGTCCTGTTTTTAGTCCGATTGTACTTTTTATATATTTTTAAATTTTTATTGTTATTAACAATTAATAAAAACATACATAAAAATTAATTAAGATTTGAAGCAGTCGATGCATGTATTATGTTCCTTTCTTCGTTTTGTTCATTTTTGACTTCAGTCACCTTTGACCAACAAGTGCATATATTATCGTTTTTGAAAGACTTAATAATTTCTACATGCAATCTGGCAACCTCAGACTGCATTTCTAATTTGATATTATTTATAATTTTTGTACATATTGCAAGAACAAAAATAACAGTAACCAGTAAGGAAAGTAGTAAAGTCGGTCGGCGACGACTATATGATACCCTTCACCCCTTTGGGTAAATTCAACAGATGAATCCTAACAGACATTGAATTTTTGAAGGACCATTAACATGAAAATTGATCCTTAAACATGTCATTCTGCACATTTTGAGTTCCTGGTGAATCATGTACTTAAAATCGGGAAAAATATGTATAAGGGCTCCATTCAAATCTGAACCGATTTCAAAAGTTTCCACACGCTAATTTATATTAACTTCAGTACGTTGTGCACAATTTAGTGTCAATCGGCCTACCATTGGGTCTTTGGTGAACCATTGACTTAAAATCGTACGAAACTATATGTAGGAGCTATATCTAAATATAAACCGATTTTAACTAAACTTGCCACACGTTATGTTATAGTAACTTCAGTACGGTTTGGTGAAGCATTTATATCCAACTTCTAGGTTATACTAACTTCAGTACGTTGTGCAAAATTTGTGTTAATTCTGTTGAAAAACGGACGAAAATATATATGTAGATGCTATATCAAAATCTGAACCGATTTCAATGCGACTTGCCAGATATTAACTTATATTAACTACAGTTCATTGTATCAAATTGTGTGGCAATCGGACAAACTTTGGGATTTTAGTGCACAATTTACATAAAATCGGAAGAAAAAATATATAGGAGCTATATCTAAATCTGTACCGATTTTCACGAAACTTAACACACATCATTCTAGACCTAATTCATTATGCTAAGCCAAATTTCGTGCAAATCGAATGATATATAGGGACTTTGGTACACCATTTACATTAAATCAGACGAAAAAATATATGGGAACTATATCTAAATCTGAACCGATTTTTTTCGGAATTTCAATAGGGTTCGTCCTTAGGCCAAATAAATGACCTATGCCAAATTTTATCCAATTCGGATCATAAATGTTTACAATTTAACATGGACAGACAGACGGACGGAGATGCATAAATTCTATGCATATTCTCAAAAGGAACCATGTGTCTATCTCGTTTCCGTTTGCCTGTTAAAAACATATGCAGAAAGACATAATACCCTGTACCACAGTGTGGTGAAGGGTATAAAAAGGGTTTGAAAATTCTGAAATAATAACTTTTGGGAATCAGCTTCGAAATCATTGAGTGTAAAATAATATTGAAGTGATTCCCACTGCGCCAAAATTGTTTCAATAACTTCTTGACATGAAAGCCATCGAGTTGTTGAGTATTTAAAAACTACATGAATATCTGTACCGATACATTCCTGAAACAATGAAAAATCATCTCTCTCATAGAACTGTTACAAAAATAATAATTAATATCTTTACATAATGTATCAATCTGATCGGGAATACTGAATTCTAAATTGGCATAGGCCACTACGTTTAAACTATGGCAAATTCATCCATTCTTAATGACGGCGGGGGATGGCGATCCATTTCATATTGTATGTTTAAGCACGTATAATACCTTTAAGTGAGAATAGTTTGATACAATTTAGAAATAGTGCTAAATATGTCATTGGGGTACTATTGTACTTTTGACTTCCAAATAGTGCTAAAATTAGTACAATTGTACCAACTTTTACATCCCTGCGTTAAGTGATGTTTAGAGATGGTATTTCCCGGGTAAATACCCATTTGCAGGTATTTATTTGGGTATTTACTATATTAAAACGATAATACAACATTTTAAACTCTATTTCCAGGTTTCTGTTATCAAATTTATTTAAAGATACCCTTCATCTCTTTGGCTATAACACACGTCGCTTTTTCGAAGGGACATTGACGTGAAATTGAGGGAACTTAAATATGTGATATTTATTTATATGTAAACCGACTAACATCAATCCCGACCACATGTCATCCTGCAACCTATGCTGAATTTTGTAAATCGATTTAAAGTTAACTTGACACGCGCTTTTTGGTATGCTACATTGTTTAAAATTTGATCACAATCAGGCACCCATTGATTATTTGGAGTATAATCAACGTGAATAGCCCGAAATTATATATGGAAGCTATGCTACATCTAAATCTGAACCGATTTCAAGGAAACTTGCGAAAGATTCATTTATATTAATTTCAGTATTTTTTGTCTATCGGTCTAGCTATGGGTCTTTAGTGCACCATTTGCTTAAAATCGGACGAAAATATATATAGGTTGTATATTTAAATCTGAACCGATTTTCAAGAAACTTATCACACATCATTGTAGACTTAATTCAGTGCGATATGCAAAAATTCGTGCAAATAGAAAGCTTTACAAGGACTACCACCATCGGACTACCTTAAATCGGTCGAAACTATATATAAATCTGAACCGATTTTCACGAAACTTATCACACATTATTCTTGACTCAATTAAGTGCGCTCATGTCAAAATTCGTCCAAATGGAAAGATATATGCAATTCGAAAGATATATAGGGACATTTGTGCACCATTTACCAAAAATCGGGCGAAACTATATATGGGAGCCATATCCAAATCTGAACCGATTTTCACAAAACTTGACACATATACTGGACTTAATTCAGTACGCTATGCCAAATTTTGGAGCTTTGATTCACCATTTACTGAAAATCGGACGAAATTATATATGAGAGATACACATAATACTGGACTTAATTCAGTACGCTATGCCAAATTTTGGAGCTTTGATTCACCATTTACTGAAAATCGGACGAAATTATATATGAGAGATATATCCAAATCTGAACCGATTTCAACAAGACTTGACACACGTTGTGCTATAATAACTGCAGTACTTTGTGCAAAATTTTGTGGCAATCGGCCGCATTTTGGAGCTTTGGTGCACCATTTACTGAAAACCGGACGAAATTATATATGAGGGATATATCTAAATCTCAACTGATTTCAACAAAACATGACACACGTTGTGCTATAATTGAAAATCGGACGAAAATATATATAGGAGCTATATCTAAATTTGAACCAATTTTTCCCAATTTCAATAGGGTCCGTCCTTGAGCCATATAAATGAGCTTTGCCAAATTTATAAATGCGACCTGTACTTTGTCTACAATTTAAATGGACAGACAGTCGGACATGCATAAGTCGACTCAGATAGTGATTCTATGCATATTATCTAAAGGAACCATGTGTCTATCACGTTACCTTTTGTTAAAAATATATTCACACATACACTTGGAACTTTGAACACTTTTTGCCTTCAAGCCTCATAATTTTTATACCATTCACCACACAGTGGTACAGGGTATTATGTCTTTGTGCATATCTTTGCAACAGGCAAAAGGAATCGAGAATATAAATAGAATCCTTTCGAGAATATGCATAGAATCACTTTTTGAGTCGATGTATGCATGCATGTCCGTCCGCCCGTCTGTCCATGTTAAATTGTAAACAAAGTACAGGTCGCATTTATGATCCGAAATGGATGAAAATTGGCAAAGCTCATTTGTTTGGTCCAAGGTCGAACCCTATTGAAATTGGGAAAAAATCGGTTCAGATTTAGATATATCTCTCATATAATTTCGCCCGAATTTCAGTAAATGGTGCACCAAAGCTCCAAACTGCGGCCGATTGCCACAAAATTTTGAACATCATAGCGAAGATTGTATAGCCTAGATTTGAATATAACTCCCATACATATTTTAGTCCGATTTGTGCAAGGTTACAAACCTTAACAAGTACTGGTATTCATTTACCAGTCTATTGAAAATCTTGAAATATTAAAATCGAGAATTGAGGAGGTTCCCCTAAGTAAGTATTGTTTTTTGGTAGGAAGATGTTCTATTAAATGAGAGTTTCAAATATTAAATTAAATTTCAGGGTCTCCAATAAATATTTCGAAGTGTTACAAATGATTGAGAATCAATATTTCGGTGCCTTATTAATTCTTTTCCCATAACAATCGTTATGGGAACATATTACTCCAATGACTAAATTTTCTCATATTTCCTGGGAAATATTTGAAGTATGAAGTACTCAGTTCGCTTACAAATATTCATTCAAAAGACCTTGTACCATTAAAAATTGTTAGGACCTTTTCTGAAAAATAATATGCCACCAAACATCCCTTGTGAAAATTAATCTGAAACACATTGTATGCAGATGGTTAGTCCTCACTTAAGTGGGAGGATCATTTAAACACCATGAAATCACTTACCTGTATGTAACGTGAACACACAGTTTGTTTATTTTCAAATAGGAGGGGTATTGTGGGATTAAGAAAACCATTGTTGAGAATATTTTAAAGATATAAAAATGACAAATAATTTTTTCTAAAGGACCCTTGTCAATGTGCAACGTCATTGCAAATAGGCCCTCACAAAATTTTGTAAAAATCAGGTAGTTTATTTTCAAATTTCTTTGGGATATAAAAAACCTTTCAACAACTTGAAAGCAACACAGTTCATCTGAATCATTCACCAAGGTAGCACCATCATCATTACCATGAGAGTATTCATTGCAGTTTGTTTGTTTTTCGCTGTGGTAAGTCCTAAATTTTTATAGAGTTTTAGTTTTTAAATTTCCATTAAACTCTGTTTTAAATTCTCCCCCTTTAGACTTCGGCCGACTATGTTGTCAAAACACGTGAAAACCTCCTACAATTTCGCAATGAATGCATAGCCGAATTAGAGATTCCCGAAAATCTTGTCGAACAATACAAACAATGGCAATATCCAAATGATTCGGTGACCCAATGCTATTTGAAATGTGTATTCGTTAAATTCGGTTTATTCGATACCACCCAAGGCTTCAATGTTGAAAATATTCATCAACAGT